TGTAAGATAGTCATTTTACGTTCATCTTACATATAATTTAATCAATAATCCCTTATTGTAGCTACGAACCTATTTTCGTGTGTTGTTTCGTCTACGATTTATGTTGTTTCCCTCGTATTTACTCAACGCTATTTTATTTGTCTTTTCTTAAGACTATAAAAATGAGTTTCTCCCTAAGCCTATAATGGACTATGGTGCATTCTAGTATTCTACTAGTTTTTTACTCGAGATCATTACTTAATGGGTCCTTCTAAAATGTCATATGGTGTTATATAAACATTTAAATCATATATAATAATATATTATATTTATGTTATAATATGTATGATGTATCTAGGCGGAACGTGAGTACATGGCAACATAATCGGRCAAAAAAAATTTCGAAGATTGTTAAAATTATTGTRATATTATTATTAAAATAATTGTTCTTTTATTGTAATAGGTATATAGGTACGAAAAAAATTGACTGACTCCGCTCAGTATAGAAAATTATGTGTTACATTTTTAGTATCTACCAGTACCTACAATCCAAAGTTATTTGTTTTATAATTACAACAAAATAAGGAAGTCGTCCGATGAGAATTAATTTTTTCCGAACCTGAGCGAAAGATAAATTTTAACGATAAATAAATACCTACGTATAATATACAGAGTATAGCTTAAGATAATATAACATCATTTCCATTAGTCAGAAACTCACAGTCGCAGAAGTCAACAAGTATGAGATATTCAGATACGAGTTAAATAAAAATAAAATACACTAAACAAACGATAAAGGTCTATTTACACATAACCGTTCTACAGTAGTCACCGCTTATTGGACTCACTTTGGGACCCGAAAATTTGAGTCAATTAACCGAATGAGTCAATAAGGCGAATGACTTAAAAAAATTTAAAAAGCTTCAATTTAAAAAATTAAAAATATGTATTGAAAYTCAAGGTATCAAAAATGTAAAAATCTAGCTATACATAATTAAAAATAAAATAAAATAAATAAAATACATACATAATTAATAAAATTAATTAATTTTTTGATAAAAATACGTCTAATGTTGATTGGATTTTCGCTTCTTTGGCCAACTTCATAATCATATCTTCATAAGATATATGTGTCTCGAATACGTCAAAATCGCCTCTTTGCTGAATCCTTCTACGTAAAATTTGAAGCGCTTCTAGCATTTCTTTAGTTGATGGTGGTTTCTCATCAGGTTCCTCTTCTTCGCTATCACCAACCACATTCTCTTTAAACCGTTTTGACTGTATTACCCCACATATATCTTCCTCGGTAACGAGTTCGGTAGTTTGGACTTCTTCGTCAATATTTATCCATTCATTATAAAGTTCAGTTGATATCAGTCAGTAGATGTCAGTGGGTCTTTCGACARCAGCTTCAGCTTATTTTGGACAGAGAATGAAACCATCGTGTTGGAAATAATTACGTATTGTTATTTTACTGACGATATTCCACGCTTCGTAGGCTAAATGTAAACCTTCAAGTACAGTTATTTTTTTGGCGATTTCATGAGCACGTAAGGTACATAATTCTTGTTCCAAGTTAGCATCAATCACACTGATCACATTCTTTCTCATGCCTGTTCTGCAATAAGCTTTAAAAGTGCATATAAATCCCTCGATCACACGGTTGTATGATTGATGTAGTGTTAGAGGGTAAAAATACGAGTTTAATATGTTTGAATTTCACTGTAACCACACGAGCCGTGCAATTATCGACTAGCAATAAAACGTCATGACGAAGTTCATTATCCCACTTGGTCAGCCATTCGGTGAAAATTTCTTTTGTCATCCATGCATTACTGTTTGCAGTATAGTCTACCGGTAGATTCTTAACACCCTTGAAACACCGGGGATTTTTACTTTTACCAATCGCGAGCAGTTTTCTTTTTTCACAATTCATACTTGCACAACATAATATGGTTAGACGTTCTTTACTAGTTTTAGTTCCTCTAGATTTTTTCATTTTTAAACACGTAAGTGTGCTCAGGTAATGCCCTGAAATAAAGTCCAGTTTCATCCGCATTAAACACAAGACGGAGGATATTTGGCGATAAAAGATGGCCATTCTGAATTAATCCACGATCGTGCAGCTCCTTGGTCTGTTTCTCCCTGTTCTACATGTGGCTTAACGAATGGAATGTTTTCACGTTTCTTCCATCGGTGAAACCAACCTTCTGTTTCCACAAAATCATCTTTACCCATTTTTTTCGCGAGATCTTCAGCTTTTTGACGCAACAGTGGTCCTGTAACTCGGGCATCTTTTTCTCTGACTTTTGTGAACCATTGTTTCAAAGCTTCTTCAACTTCTTCTTTACCGGGCTCTTTTTCTTTTACGGTTTGAATTAAAATGTTCTAATGATGCATTTTCGATTTCCTGCCAACTTTTCAGCATCCTACCTAGTAAACTTTGAGACACGTTTAACTTACATGCTGCTTGTCGCTGGCTCATTTTCGGGAGCTAGTCATATTACCGCCCGTTCCGTATCCGTCGTTTTATGTTCGTTTATTTGTTATGAAATAGGCATATGTTATAAAATTATACTGTCCGTCAATCATGGGCATAGCATGAGGGAGGTCTAAGGGGACTATAGTCCCCCCCCCCCAATTAGTGGTTCAGTTCCCTTAGGTAAGGTTAGTTCTCTTTTATCTAAGTCTAATAGTCTATGCTTTTAAATTAACATAAAATAGTATWTACTTTAATATTACAAACATATATATTTTTGTTACACGTTACACTAACTATCGGCCATCATTGATTATCGAAAACAGATGATGCTCGGCGCCGTGCAGTGAAAAGAATGTTATCGCCGAATCATTGAATCTAACCTAACAACCCAGCAGCTCCAATAATTCATTGGTTCATCGTCCAATAATTATTATTCCCGGTTTCATTTCTTCTCTGCATCACGAGAACGATCTTTTTCAGTTATGAAGAGCATAAATACATATACATAGATCAGAAGTACAATGACAAATGAGATCGGTTCAAACCCCTCTATTCTACAAATTGAACGAGAATTATATTCAGAAATAAAAATTGAAGATATTTTAAATACATTCAGTACAAATAAACGTAGGATTGACTTGCATTTATCATAATTCATAAGAGTAGGTACTTACATTAAAATAAAATGTTTTTTATTTGAAAGCTTAGGTCAATTTTATTAATCCTACGTCTATTTGTATTAAGAGTATTGATATATAATGTAATAATAAAATAAAACTTTTAAAATTTTTTTTTTTTTTTTAATGTAGGCTGGTACTCGCAACTCACTTTTCAGTCATAATTCAATAAATATACCTACATTTCATATTAATTGATTGACTATGTACATTTATATACGTAAATAACTGTAATGGCTATTGATGTTGTATTTCAATACATTTCATTTTAACATAGTTTAATAAAAATAATCAAGAACTCAAGTCCCCTTGTTAATTAGGGCATGCTACGCCCATGGCGTCTACTAATGGAAGTAACACAACAGAATTTTTTTTTATAGTTGAAAAAAAAATGATCCAGTATTTGATGGTGCCTGAATAGTGGCGTATTTTTCGTCCAATGTACCTAGACATTCTAGAGAAACGATAATAAGAATCCTAAGAAAATATTTTAATTTATCACCATATATATATACATCATATATAAATAACCTGAACACGTCTGTCAATGTATTTGGATTAAAAAAAGAAAAGAATAAAAAACATATTATTTTCCCACTTAAAGTTGTAGATGAAGAAAAAAAAGATCATTTCGATCTCTTACTAATTACCAACGGAGATAAAAGCCACTACACCTATGTATTACATACATGTATATCCGTATGTGTAATATAAATATATTATATATCTAAAAGCAAAAACAAAAATGATATAGAACTCTCAGTTATAGCAGTAATACCTACCTATCTACACATCATTATTTTGTGCAATAATAGTAATAATAAGATKTATATACGCTGGCGTTCGTTATAATAATAGTAATAACTAATTATAACTTTAAATATGTTTATTTGAAATATCATCAGATTATTTTAGATATATATTATGTACTTTTGTACACTATGAAATAATAGTACTGGTAAATATGTATATATGAGGGGTGTTCATAAAATTATTTTATTATACATATATTTATATTATTGTTATATCATAGGAGGTGAATAAACATATGAATGATATATTTACCATTATAATCGTAAATATGTTCAGCTGGTTTAAAGAAATCTTGAATTTCTCGCTTGGTKATGGTTGGTTCTTGTTGAATTACAATGCTTGAACCTGAAAATAGTTTTATTATTACCTAATTAGATACTTGAAAAAAATTATTCATTGAATAAATTACACTTTTTTTTTTTAAAACACCTTTATTATATATTTATTACCTTTAGATATCACATAATATGTTTTAATATCATAATGATATGCCATATATGTATACTTGATTAGGAATATTAGGTATTATAGTTTATYTAATAAATCTGTATGTAATTAAAAATTACTTAATATGTTTTTCTTTACTATGTCTTATGAGGTTATCTCTTCGTGTGAATATTTCTGAGCATAAACTKCRTGAAATCGTATTGGATACATCGTGTGACTTGGTATGTCTGTGTAGACTACCGATCCTAGTAAATGTCTTATCACAAATACTACACGAGAACATGATTGCGTTTAATGAAAACTGAAGAATACTAGTTGAACTCGCGAAACAAGACTTTATCCTTCAACGAATAGATAGGTAATGAAATATAGTGAAATATATTGTTCATTAAATATCAGTGTGAAATGATTAATTTATTTAAGCGATTTATTAGCGCATGCGCACAATACTAGAAATATCAGAAGAAACCAAACTATGGTGTTAGCTAGAGTAAAATAAATAGTTGAATTTTTATAAAATATTTGTATACACTTTAGAACACAGAATTGACACGATAATAGCCATAGACGGTATTACACGCCGTACACGGACTGATTTCGTTTTACTTAATTCACTAATTTCTTGCTAGAATCACCAACAATATTCGGACATGTCTTTACATGTATGTAGTCRAACAGACGGTTAGTGAGGTAAAGGCGTGAGAAAGGGTGGTAGGGATATAATGGAATGTTTAAATGTGATAATTTGTGTGTGCCATGAACGAACAAAGGACTGGTTCTACCTCTAAATTATAATGTACTAAATGGAAAACTAATGTGTAGGTACTATATGTTATCGTGCATATGCATCTGCTTGTTGACTATAAATTAATGATCATGATACTTATATGTTTAGGTAAAACTATCTATATGTAGCTTTAACGATCTATCTTATTGCTATGTAAGTATTAATGTAAATTGTATGCGTATGATGTGGGGTATGTATTGTATTTAAGTAAATATTATGTATATATTTAGGTGATGATCTATATTTTTTACGCTTGTTGGGCTTGTGTGTGTGTGTTGTTGTTGGTATATCGGCGGCGGTGGGTCGAAGTGAGGTTGAGGCGGGTTAAGGTTGATGCTCGATTCCCGGTCAGTTATTTTACAGTTTTTTCCACTGCGTTAATATATGAGTTGGGATTGTTTAATAAAATGTATATGATATCTGACAACACGATGAGTGATAACGGGAAAACTGTAATAATATGATAATATATGTCGCGCACGTACCCGACAGTCGTGATAGGTTAATGTGTGTTGCGCGTTGTCTATATTGAGTAATGAATACAAGTTTGGGAGGTGCATGTACTACGAATTGCCTATACTGAGAGGCCTATCCTATAACATGTAAAATTTAAGGGGGAGGTGCTGCTGAATTCCCCAAAACATTCTACTCTGGTTATACAGTTCCTAGTAGACAAGTGTTTGCTGATACTAAAATCCCTGCTATTTATGCTGATGTGAAAATGTGAATCGCAAATGATCTTCAGACTATACAGTATGTAGCCTCAACGTTCGATTGTTGGACTTCAAACACATTACACCTTTATATTGCAATTACTGCTCATGGGATTAATGAAATTTGGGAGTTAAAAACATTTTGCCTAAGTTGTACAAGCTTAGACATAGAACATACATTTTACGTACCCATTTCAAAATGTAGATCTAAAAATACGATTTTCAGCTTGTTTTTGTAATGTTGTTATTAAATGTACTATCTACATATATTTTTGGCAGGCCAACCGGTCAGTGGAATGTTTTCGGTTAATTAACTAATTAAAAAAGTTAAATTCACTATGTATATATTATGATTTAAAATATGACTGATGCAAAAATAGGAATGAAGAACTGTCTAAAGAATTGTTTATTTTAAAAATATCTATAACAAATGAACAAACTAGATATTGTTTTTTGTTTATAATGTGACACAAAGCGGCAAACATAACTATTGAAGATTTAATAATGTTATCAATTTTTTATTCATCAATTTTTAAATCTTATAAATTAAACTTAAACAATCAATTATTGAGCTATAATAATATATTAATACGAATGGGTACCTATAGCTATTTGGTATTGGTGTATAGACTATCTAAGTATAGATATACAATATAATTGAAATTTTGTGTATAGGGCTCAACATATTTATACTAATTAGTGATTACAAAACTATTAACCAAMTATAGTATAATATTATATATTACCAGTCCTATATACGGCTATAGGCTATACATAATGGTTTTAAGTTTGTGTTTAATTATAAAATATGTTGGTTGAATTGAGATGAGTGCTCGGGTCGTCGATACCAGATACTACAATCTGTTTTTTAAATTATGTCTGAAGCATGAATGTTGGTTTTATGCAATCATATTTTATTGTGTTTGGCGTCTGGCTCTCTGGCTTTGAGCCTTTTCTGGTAAAATTTTTTATCTAATTAGTGTCTTAAGCTAAACTATATTTGGTTTAAAAATAATAATTATATATCTATGTTTTGTCGATAAAGTAGAGAGCGATTTATATAGATTTAGCGATTTATATATATTTTGTTATATTTAAATTAATTGTAACAAACATAACGTGCATACCTGTTATTGAAAATGTTTTTTTTAGCATTATGAACTGTACAATACAAACAAATCATATAATCTGTCATACATCTAATAATAAAACAAGCCAATTGATTGACATATTATAGGTAGGTACATATAATTAAAATTAAATGTTACTTATAACAATGATAAGAATGGTATGCTAAGCTATCTAGTTAATACTATACTATTTATTATAACTATAACAATAAATAATAATGATTAATGACTATTCGAGTATGGGTTATCTATACTAAAAAAATAAAAAAATAATAGTACAATACAATTTGTTTAATAT